CACCCTACTCTTATTATTTATCTAATAAACAAATATTTTTTGATGAATCAATTTAAAACAATCAAGATTTGTGTTGTTAACATAAATTATTATTATATATCTAATATTATCTGATTCAACTATAGGATTGTCGTACAATGAAAATTCATTAATGAGGATTATTCGATAAACATGTCAAAATAATTTCTCATCTATTTAAAATATTTGTGCTTGGATAGATCGATCGATCGATCGATATACAATACTCATATTTATATAAGAATACATCTCCAATTGGAATAGTTACATTCAATTCTATCGAGCTGATTATAGAAAATAAAAATCATTTGATGACTATTATTTTTTAGTCTGCTAAGAATTTAACTCATTTTATATGAAAAATAATTATTAGATCTGCAAATCTAAAAAGATTAATCACAATCATTGTTTATATGATAATATTAACAATTCTTGTATCATATTTAATATATGTCACATCATTTCAAGGGAGCAAGTGTACTATACGATTACGAACTTTTCCTAAAAGATAATGAAAAAGAGCTTGGCATGATTGTACTTGCTGATACGCAACACTCATTTTTGAAAATAAAGATTTTTTTTTTCATAAAGCTTAACTAAAGCTTTCCGCAATTGACATATCCAAATCTATAATTGATTTTTCGATATTGTCGAGTTGAATTTATTCAGTGAAGATAAGTTTATTTGAAACAAATAAAAAAATCTTATCAAACGTTACTAAACAATAGTAAAAAAATGATTTCATTGACTAATATTCATTTAACTAGAGAATTTTTAAAAAACCGACTAAATATTCGGATTTGTCGATTCTAAATAAATTTAGTCAACTTTAGTTTTTAATAGACTTGTCTTTATCGAATAAATCGAATTGATATTCTAAATAATTGTTTAGTGTTAATGATGCTCTTCAATTTCATTCATACTCGAAAGATATCTGTTGTATATCAATAATAGAACACTTTTAAATAACGAAAGCTCATTCAGCCTCTAAACTTCTATTCCTACCCTTACATTATTCCATTTTTAGCTAATTATATTTAGTTTTATTAGAAGAAAAAAACTTGCATTGACTTATGTGTTCATAGAATGAGATATACTTCAACTAAATTGAACAACAAAGAATGAACATTGAAAAGAAAAAAGCGATAGTTTATAGTGACGTCGATAATGATCAATCCTATAGTAAAATGATAATCGTTTCTTACTTGCTCAATGTCATATGTAATGCATTACAAAAAACGAGAAAAAAAAATCAAAATAAAATAATTGAAAAAAAAAGAAAGAGATTCTATATTAAGAACATTATTTTTTGTGAACATGCTTCTGAATAAAGCCTTGGAATTTCACATATCAATAGAATATATGGATTTTTATTCTTATCAGAAGAATAAAAGATGAATTTTATCAACATAATTCAATGTCATGGAAAATATTTCTTTCCTATCACTCGTTTAATGCTACTCGAGAATTGTTTCTTTTGTCCATCCGACATTTGAGTGTAACCTTCAATGAAGAAACAGTGGATTTCAAATAGCTCAAAATAACTTCAAGTCCCAAAATCCGCTGTATCTTCTCTTAGTCTGCTTAAATATTTTTATTATAAAATATTCAACAGTTAAATCATAGTTTTTAACCAATGTTTTAATGGATATTTTTAAAATGACTATTCTAATTAAATTGATATGACAATCAAGCAGACTTTTTTCATTTAATCGAATTAATCTGAAACTTTTATTTCATCTATTAATCAGTCAATATTGATTATTAGTTGATATTTATCATTTTGATTTATCTATTCAATTAATAAATGAATATATTCTATAATTAAGTAAAATTGTTTTTTTTAAAAATTCATAGAAAATTAAATTGAATTAATATTGTTCCTATTGATCTGTTTTTTTCTTTATTTATAATATGTATTCATAAAGAATCCTGTAGAACATTCTTATAAATAATCGTATGAATTTCTTCATATATTAAATATGACAATTATCCCTTGTTTAACAATATGAACTATAACAACATAATTTTTTCTTTTTAGCATGATGAACAATTTGATAAATGTGATATATGTATGTGTCTGTTCTTACTGAAATATAAACGTATTAATAATAATAATCAATAAACTATTTCATTCATTTTACTCGCGTTTTATTCATTAGATTTATCTTATTTTATAAGAATCCTTTATCAAACAAACTACATATTATAGAATTCGCTTATTCTAACAATAACTATACAATACGAACAAATAATGAGTGACTATATAACACAAGAATCAATCGGTTGTTGGTGTGGGGTGTGAGTGTGCGTATAGGTGTGAATCTTCATGTATCCCATTTCGACATCCACATTCACCCACACACTCACACCCTTTCCAAGCTCAGCCGTTTGAGTTATAACAAAAGAAGGGCGTGCACAGATTTGTGGTCTTATGCGCCCCCGTCCTTTTATTCGAAAGCATAAAGCTTATTTTAATTCAGCTGAGAAATCGATTGCTGAATGATCTAGAGTTGATAGTAGCAGATTGACTTATCTTTTGATGAAAAGACAAATCGATCGATTTTTCGTTTGATTTACACCCATCCTCACACCCTCTTCCTGTTCAATGAATTCCATTAGCGGTTCGGTAACTCTCATTATTTCGCACATTAGATTTATTTGAAAAGCAAAAAAGTAACAAAGATCTCATGCTCCTTATCATCATCAATGAACATTACACAAATCTTCATTGCAACAACATTTTTGGACACTAACTCCACCAATTATTTCATATGTGTCGCAACTATTTAAATTGTCCCCACACTCTTGAGCTGATTGGATCCCGCGTTGCACACGTCGTGTTGCACTGAATACTGATATTGTTTTTGACTATAAAATGAAAATAATGGTACAATATATGTAGAGAGAGAGGACAAAGAGCTTGAGTTTCGCTATAAACTTACATAACATCGTTCTATCGGTTGAGCCATTTGACATTTTGTTTGTCCATTCTCAGTACAAGAACTGTTAGTAGGTTGAAAACATTCGTTTGTACCACTATTTTGCTCATTGCAAACGAAACAGAGCGTTGGCTCTGATATGAGTACTGAGTAAGAAACAGATCAGCAAAGAGTTTCGTCCTAGTTCCTACAAATAAGCCTATTCGCTAAATGCTTACCGTTCGTGAGGTTATATAAGTCACTGCAACACGTGTATATTTGTACACCATCTATAAGTGTTTCATTTGTACATTACGATCGTGCGTTATATTGACTTCGATATTTAAAACCACGTTCAACACCATAAACCGTGAAGTTTTTTATATCATACACAACTGATTCCAAAGTAAACGGAATGAAGTCGAAGATCACTAAAGAGAGTTTATTCTTAGTCTACATCAATCTTACATAACAACACTCTCTGTAAGATGGATCGCTATATGTCTTTGTTTCCGTCTCTGTTTTTTCGCTTTTTTTAAGACAATCATCTAGATTGCCATATTTGCTGCTACACGAATAACATGTAAGTACATAATCAGCATGAACGTCTAGAAAGAAGAATGTTAAAGACGACAGTGCTTTTCTGTGTATATTGAGTAAAAAGTAGTGCAATGTTTCTTGCTTTCGTAATACACACAAGTAAGTAGAACAAGGAGGAAAGAGTACTTCATCATTGCGCTACGAAGAATAATGAGCTTCAACGTGAAAATCGATGTTTGATGTTTTATATATATATCCTCGTAAGATTAAATCACTGAGAAAGAAAAACAGGTGGACTGATACGCACATTACATCGTTACTTTGACAGAAAACGGATTTGTTTTTTCAAGATTAGAAACTATTAGTGAAAAACAAGAAAATAGAAAAATTGCCTCACTATAAACTAACAGAATGTGTTTATTGTTCTATTAAAGTGTCGTCGACTATATAGATTAGTTCATTTCTAATTTCATTATTGTTTCTATATTCATCCTCAAGGTCATTTAGAAGAAACCATTAAAAGTTTATTATTGACTGAAAACATACCTATCATTTTCTCTACGAAATTTCAATATTCTTTCTTACTATTTTGCGAACTCTTAAAATTCTATTTTACTTTTTTTTACAAACTCTTATTATTATCTAATAATTTGCTTTTCTGCTTCAAAAGTTGAATAAATATGTTTACATTTATTTTAAATTTAAATTTTTCAAAATTTATTTTCGGATTTAATAAATTGACGTAAATGTAAATAGGTCACCCCTAGTGAATTATGAAGCAAACTCCAATAATATTACTAAAATTATTGAATAAAAATAAAGAATATTTTCAAATCGGATTTTGAAGAAGTTTCACATGATCAAGATTATAGACTCCTCCGTCAAAACTGTTGTTATGATCGGTTTGACTCTTTTGAAGCACTCAAAATGATCCTTTCAATATATTTGTTTTAGTTGAGTGATTAAAATGTGTTAGAGGAGTCAGTTGTATTATTTCGATAGGTGACTTCTCTCGGAGTACTCGAAACTTCGATGAGTGCCGAGGTGTCGAAATATATACGACGAGTCGAAAATGAGTCGTGGATAAGACACAGTGTCCGAGTCCTCGAAATTCGATGGGTGTCGAGGGGATCGAAATTGAAACAGAACGAACAAAATATATACGTATCAAATTTTCGACCGCTCGTCGCACCCATCGTATGCTTTTTTTATTTGCTTGGGTTTATAAAGAGAAATTTAGTATTGAACAACAACAATCGTTGCAGTACCTACTTTAGATTGATGACTCTATTAACTGTTAATAAAATGAAAAGAAGTCTGAAATTGTTTATTTATTTCAATAAAAATTTGTCAATCGATTTATACTGATTCTAGACATGAAAATAACCTTGAATTCTCCAATGAATATATGAAAATCAACATTTGATGTTTTAATATGTTGAATGTCTCTAATTTCCTATGAAAGGGTTTTAATTGATTATGCATTGATGTTGGTGGTTGAAAGAAAATTCTTTCATAACGTTAACATTTATCATTATCAGTTATACTTGAATTTAATTCAAGATCAAATGTATATATTGTTTCAGGTTGTTGATCTGTCATTCGCCATAAATCATCATGTTTAACTCAATGAGAATTACAAAAAGTATAAATTATTCCTATCGCTTTGTTCGAAACAATATGAATATGCATTTTCATGAATAAAAGCATTAAATAGATCAATATTAATTGAATTATAAGATTCAACCCATAAATAATTATAGAACTCTTGATGAAACAGTCATGTAAATATTGATACATAATTTGAATTATTTGATGAATCTTAAAGGTTGAATTCAGTTTTTTTTCATTTTCAATGTCAATTTGAATTGATTCATCAACATTATAATGTTAATGCTAACGTTCCAATCTATGGTAAAAGAATAACATCAATTTTTTTTACAATATTGACAAATTAAACTTCATTTATTTTACCTACTGAAGTGAAATTTCGATCATAATTTCTGTTCCTTGTTCAATTCAATCACTTAATTCAGCTTTATGTATACCAGATACTTTAGCAAATACAGTGTTAAATTTTGATAAGGAACTCTTATTATTATGATCAGATAAGGGTGTGGGTGTGGGGTGTGAGTGTGGCTGGATGGGTGTGGGTGTGTGGGTGTGGGTGTGGGTGTAGTTGTGGATCTTCCTTTCACCCACACCCACCCACACCCACACCCACACCCACACCCACACCCAC